TCGACTGCTAACTAAAAGGCTGGCAGTTCGAATACACCAGCCGCTCCTTGGAAAGCCTGTAGGGCAGTTCTTTTCTGTCCTATACAGTCGCTGTGAGTCAGAATTGACTCGGTAGTAATGTTTTTTTTTTTTAATTGTAGCTTTGCAAGGATCCGTGGTGGTGCAGTGATTAAAGCGCTCAGCTGCTAACTGAAAGATCAGTGGTTTGAACCCACCAGCTGCTCTGAGGGAGAAAGTTGTGGCAGTCTGCTTCCGTAAAGATTTACAGCCTTGAAAACCCTATGGAGCAGTTCCACTCTGTCCTATAGGGTCGCTACGAGTCAGGAGGGACTCCAGCGCCATGGGATTGGTTTTGGTTATTCTAGCTTTGCACCCATTGTCTTTAACTGACAGTGAGTGAAAGAATAAAGTGTTTCTTCTTGGAAATAAATAATATTAAAATTTGAGATGTCAAGCTGGTCGTTACAATCATTTCTAAACCACTACCAATCTAATAGCAAATAGAACAGGAAAGAAGAAGGTGGGAGGGAGAAAGGAGTAGGGAAGGAAGAAATCTTAAAATGAAATATGGTCTATTATATTTTAGGTTTTAGTAGTTAGTCTGTGACATTAAGAATTCTTTTTTTTTTTTTTGTACTAGTTTGTTTACTCTTAAGGGAAAAATAAATCTTTACAGTCATCTTAAATCAGGAACAAAAAGTTCCTGCAAAGGACCCCAGCAGTGCACTGACACTTCTTTTCTTCTAAAATTGCGCTTACTGACTCATTTCTGGAAAAGTTACTCTTAGTACTAAAGATGATCCATAACAACACAGTGTTTTATCTGGGGATTGCACAACTGAGGTTAATGAGGTTCTGCTATTTATTTTAATTTGCACAAGAATAACCATATCTTAATGGAACATTTATCTCTTAATTTTCTCTTTTAATCAGGATGGTAGGACCTCTACATCTCTATCTCTATGTAAAAAAAGAAAATGAAAAATTCAGTCAATAATCTAGATGTTTTCGAGTGTCTTATAGGGTCGCTATGAGTAAGAATCGACAGGATAGCAACGGAGGTTTTTTTTTAAATGAATAAGTTACCATGAAGATAAAATATCTGGGTAAATAACAGTTATTTGACTTTCATTCAGATTTATGAATCAAATAGATACAACCCTCCTCTCCAAACTTAGCAAGATCAATTTCCTTCATGAGAATATTAAAGGTTTACATTATTACAATCCAAAGCCAGGGCTTAATGCTTCATTGGTCTTGAATTATGACAATTCTTTATCAAAATTCTTGTACTGGAAGAGTGCTGATTTGTTCTTGGCTTTCCTACAAATCAGTTCTCAATTAAGAATCTTATATATTATTAAATCAGACATCAAAGAGCATTGATATCAATGGACTAATAGAGGGTGTTAGTCATGGGAAGTTTATTGGTGTTATTACAACTAACAAAAATAACATGGTAATATAAATGGATTGACTGCAGAGTGCCTTCTTATAACCCAAGTCAAAGGATCTAATAAATTTTTATTCATACATTTTAATTACTTAAGATATCCCTTCCTATATTCAAATTATACATCACAGCTTCTAAACTGCTCATTTGAATACATATATGAATGTAAACTGAAAGCAAATTAATAAAATATACTTTGTATGCAAGGCTCACAAAAACGCACTATTGTAAAAAAAAAAAAAAAAAAAATCTATTTCTAAGTCAATTAACAAGAAAGAGTGTCCTTATAGAAAAACTTGAAAATTGAAATAAAGTATTTCTTTGGCCAAAACATCCTTCCTTCAAATATTATCAGGTTTCTACTTGCATACCTCTTAGGGAAGTATACCTCAATCCGTTTGATATGCAAAATATTAGGAAACTCATGAATGTGCTAGAAATATCAGATTTTTTTTCCTAAGGGTTAATAATAATCCATAAAAGTTCTTGCCTTTTTTCCCTGGTGATTTAACATTAATTTGATATCATCTTAAGTAAGGTAAGCTATTGCAAATGCTGAACTTCAATATCACTTTATGATTACTTAATTTGACATACAGCTTTGAAAGTAGTGAATCAATTTGTTCCATCCAAATGAATAGATTTTAAGCAGGTTTTTTGTTAGTAGCTGACACTAGGATGAAATTCTTGTACAAAATAGTTTATCTGTCTATCCATCCATCCATCCATCCATTCATCCATCCATCTTCTTTCTATCTATCTGTCTATCCATCCTTCCATCTTCTATCTACCTACCTACCTACCTACCTATCTACCTACCTATATACCTGTATGTATGTATGAATTTGTGTACTTTAATTGGGCAGAATACCAAATGCTGTAAAATTGAAGTTAGGGGTATATAGAAAGAATCAGTCATTTTATTAGTAGAAATCTACCATTGTCTACAGTAATGAGCAGCCATTCAAGCCCGATTAAAGTGACAACACACTGACATAAAGCAGCTATTAATTCCCTCTGAATAACACATTAAAGAAAAATCGCAAATTCACATGAAACTCAGTGCCCACCAGAGACCTCATATGCTTGTTCCTCAGGCTTCAGTGAACTTTTCTGTAAGCCCAGACGCACTAACTACATACATCTGCACAGGCTATTATGTACAAAGATATGTATCAGAAAAAGTAAAAGAATCATAATTTTATTTATGAATAGGCTGTTTCCCCTCAACAGGCTTTGGCACAGTCACCTTAAACGGAAAAAACCAAAACTCTTCTGAAGGTAATTGCATAAAGTAGTTTGTGTGTGGGAAGCAACTCTTCCATTTGACCAGGTAAAGAAAATCATCTTAAAGGATGACAGAAGTATTTTCTTCTTCATGCCCAAGAAAACAGCATTTATAACTTTCCTGGGTAATTAGGAGTGCATGAATTGTATAAATATTCTTCTTGTAGAGGAAATAATTCCTTGTTTGTTTTTATGTATTTCTACACATAGTATTACTCTTCCTTCAAATCCAGTCTTAGCCTTTTTAGTTCCTAAACAACTACAAATCTGAATTAAGGTAGACAGGAAAATTTTCCCTTTGCAAATCAAAATAGCGGGAATAGAAAGGCTTTTTCTGATTTTCATCTTACTTAAGACATGTATCTTCTACTCTGATCCTTCATTTTATATTTCATATAATAAGAGATAGAAAATATGCTTTTCCAAAGAACATGCTCCAAAAAGAAAATACAAAAGCTGTAATTTCTCAGAATAAGAAAGTTCCAAAAGATCTAGTCACTTATTTGATCCTTTAGATCACAATTATTTTTTAAATAAGACCTAATCCAAATTTGCTACTCTGTCCCAGCTGCTCAGAAGGCAGGATAAATGAAAGCCCTAATATAAAATGGTTGATTTAAATCCATGAACTACACAGGATTCAACTGAAATATGTACGTTATGAATACTACATGACTCCCACAATGCATAGCTATTTTGAGCAGGTCAAAATGGAAAACCCAACAAAATCCCTACATGCAGTGACGAGTAAAACATATTCCAGGTGATCTGCTTACTCTCCCATATGTACACGGTCATCTCTTTAAAGAAGCAGCAGAAAGTTTTTTGTTTTGTATCAAAATTTATATTCTATTCACTTAATATGAAAATTTGTTTTACATGGTTTATTTTTTATTTAAAAATATTTTAAAGCAATTAACCCTTGAAAAAAACATCTTCTCTAATAATTAAGAACTGAAATGTTTTGACCATCCAAAGTCAAATGTCTGAAGCAGGTTCTGACATACTAAATAGATGTTTGGCAGACATCCATCAAGCAAACTCAACACGTATTTTATTTAACAATACTGAATGTCCACCTTAATGTGGAAGACCCAAAGAAACAGAAGATAAGGAGTATTTAATATAAAGAAAAAAGAAAGTAAAGATGACACATTCAAAAATAGCTAGAGAGTAATACAACTATGTGCATGTATGTATGTACGTATGTGTGTGTGTTAACATACATACATATGTGCATACATGTGCATATATACACATACACATAAATATAAAACAAAACACTGTTAGCATATATTTCTGCATATATGCTATGCAAATTTAGAGAAGAACTGTGGATCATAATAGGATTTTGTAGTCATCAGAGACAGCTTTCTAAATGTGAAATAATATGAAATGAGAATTGAAGTATATAGGCTATACAAAAGTAGAGAAACTAAAATCAGTGTATGACAGCCTGAAATCAGGCCAAGTACAGATTATATAGGTCCCTGAATTAAATTATACATATATTCACAAATATTTATTGGAATTGTGTTTATGTGCCAAGATTTGTTCTAGGTATTCATGATAGAGTAGTGAACAAAACGGACAAAATCCCATGCCTGCTAGTGGGAGAGATACAGACAATAAATAAAATACATAAGTAAATAACTTACATATATGATAAAAAGTGTTTTGAAAAAAATTAATTCCTTGTCTTGAGTATTAAGCAAAGGAGATTTGATTTTATAGGACACAAGAAATGAGTTAGAGAATTACAGAAAATCATATGAGAGAAACAGTGCTTAAAAAATACTCTGGAAGCAGTGTGCACAGTGCATTGGAATACAGAGAACAGAGATGAGTGATGAGGATACTTAAAATCAGGGCAGATGATAATGTGGGTGCCACAGCTCGAAGGCAATATGAGTGCTGAAGGTGGAAGGAGTCCAAGAGACACTTCATAGGAAGATCTGAGATTTTGTGACTTATTGGATATAGGCAACAAAGAGGAGGACAGTAAAATAGATCTTCAGTGCTTTATACCTAGGAACCAAGAGAATGGTGGCATCAATGTCACTTATGAAGATGTTATTAACAATAAGCCAATGAAAGAATTATTTATTTCTATTGAAACCAGAACCATTGAATCCTGAGACTGGAAGCATCTACACTCCATTTTGTGCCTGATGATCATAGGTTAGGATTTCTTCAGTCCTTGCAGTGTGTTTGAAAAGCATTTCTGCAATATTTATATATGCACTTGGAAAATGCTCACCAGTTTGCCACCAATGGTCTAGGACGGGTACTCTGAAGACCTCTTTGGACCATTCTAGGGTCTCCACATCACAGCGTTCGCCAGCCACAAACAATGTTTTGAACCTGAACATAACGGAGAATAAATTCAAATTATTCCTTGAAAACAAATCTCAATAATTTCATCAACATTTTTTAAACATTGTGGAATCTCACCACATTAATTTTGTCTGAGAATAACAGCCATATAACCCATATATCATACCATGGAATGATGAGAGGCAGTATTTGTTTTAAACCAAAGTGTACCAAAAAGCAATCAAAGCATCAGAGTGAGATATTTCAAAAGTAGAATTTACAATAGTTTCTACAGCTTCTCAATTTTGAGAAGAGCAATTGAAATTATCTTTGCAATATATGTCATATTATTAAATATTTTTATTATCTAAAAATAAAAAATGAAAACCTTTTTCCTCCTTGACATTATCTCAGCTAATTTTAGCTCTAAGTTTGACTGCTATATTTTACTTAAGGCTATACACAAAAATATACTCACAAATATCAGTTAAGGCAAAAAATGCCCATGAATATGATGACCTTGTTCCTTCTCCTAACTTTCTCTGGCAAGGATTGCTCTGATTTCAAGCACATATTTGCCCTTTTCCCAGAGCATATGTAGGAAAGATAGCTGTTTTAAAAAATAAATGTCATTGTCATTGTGGCTTTCCAGATCGAAAAGGTTCTTATAAAAAAAAGAAAAGGGTACTAAGAGATGAAGGGCAATTACCTTTAGTAGGGAGCACCATGCCACAAGATGGAAAGGGGGAAATAGGTTTGTGCTGACAGTATTGGGGATTAATTAGAAAACGGTTATTTTTCCTCTATTCTCAATGCCCCATGGCCTAGCTTTCAAAAAAGGGATGTGTATATAAAGAATCAATTCATTATCATCAAAGAAAAGAAAAACAAAGAAAAACCTGCCTAACTCATTCTAAACTTTGTGATTAAGCCATACAATTTTTTTTACCATTCCCTTAATTTACCATATCATTTCATGTAGTTCATAGAGATTCAAAGATTCCCACCTTTATGCTCTAACAGCATTCAGTTCCTATTTCTGCTATAAACATGTACCTCATTCTATAATTATTTGTTTCTTGTGGTTTACTACATTGGACTAGGAACTCCCTAAGAGATGAGAATTCATGACCTCAATACCAATCCAATCAAAATACCTGGGATTTTTAGGCATTTTAAAGTTTCTTAAGTCTCAGAAAAATAAACAGGTGGAGAGTAGGCAAAACTTAAGCCAGTTTGATTGTTCTTAAGTAAAAGAAGAAGCATGTTATCTTCTAAGAATGTGAAAATTGTGTAGAAATATTGAGGAGAGAAGAATTGTGAATGCCTATTTTTGGAAATTTTAAGCACATAACATAAAAATGAAGAGTGAAGAACAGTTACCTAGGTTTTCAGGTACTCCTTCAGTAACCTAGGAAGCTAAACTTGGATAGGCCAGTTGGTAGTACAGAAAAGAAGGAACGGCAAATCAAATACTGAAAGTGCCAACTGGGGAGTCCAGACTGGCCAAAGGGGGTAGTGAGGAATGGGGGCAAGGCAGGAATAACCAGAACGGAAGAAAATATCAGGGACAATGGTGGGATGAGAGACTAGAAGTCATAGGACAACAACAAAAAAAAAATTCAGTGAGAGTTAAGTAACTCTAGAATCTGAAGAACAAGGTATAACTGTGAAAGAGGGAAATTTCAAACTTAGAGATCTTGGAAATGTGTCTATTCTGAGGCATGGCAGCATTTAGGACAGCTGATAGAACCTAACATTGAAAGGCACTGGGGAAAATAACAGTGTGTAGATAGAAGGATCATCCTCAAGACAGTAAAAATCACTCAAGGATGGTGGCAGTCAAGAGTAGAGAGGAAATCCATGAATAGTATGCACAAGTTTCTGAAAACAGCTCTGAAGAGGAGGGAGAGAAGGCATTACAAATAGATAGTATGAACTTCAGAAGAAGATGGGCTATTTGAATGCACAGGATTATCAAGTTTTCTAATGTTATCAACCTTTAACATCCTCCTTAACTTTTATAGATAATCATGCCACCAAAAGTTTGACTTCAATAGTGTAGTACCATTAAAAATGTTTTCCTTGTAAAAACTCAATAGGAAAAAATAATAAGAGTTTATTTAACTGAAATTCTTGGATACAAAATAAACTATTGAAAACGTGTTAATTAATTCCTAAGTATAAATGAACCACTTCTAAATGATGTCTACACTTGAAGTGCTATCACTGGAAATTGTTCGTAGCTATTTACATCTATGGATGAAGCTATATATACCTAGGGTCTCAAATCTGTGTGAAACACTCATTGTTCTGTTACCTCTCAGTGTGTATTTTTTTGAAAAAAAGCATCACCATCTGCTAATATAATGATAGAGAATAAAATTATCTTATCACATTATCTTTTTTGTATTCAAAGATGCAGTTGGATCCATAAGGATTAGTTAGACCAGTACTGTCTAATTTAAATATAATGTGAACCACACATGTAATATATGTAATTTAAAAATGTTTGGTAAATGTACACCAGTGCTCGCTGTAGCACTTTTCACAATAGCCAGAAAAGTGGAAACAAATCAAATGTTAATAAACAGATGAATGTATAAACAAAATGTAGTATCTACCCACAATGGAATACTACTCAGCCATAAAGAGAAATGAAGTCCTGAGGCATGCCACAACACGGATGAACCTTGAAAACAAGGACAAATATTGTATGATCCAATTTATAGGAAATAAACAGATGTATAAAAACCAAGAATAATCAGTGGTTACGAGAGGTGAGAGAGAGGTGGGAATGGGGAATTTTTGCTTAGGGGCATTGAGTTTGTGTTAATGATGGTGGAATGACTTGAAAAATGATGGTGCAACTTGAAGAAAGTAATCACGCTTACTGACTTGTACATGTAGAAATTGTTTAGATGGCATATATTTTGTCAGGCATATTTTCACCACAATAAAATTAAAAAAAAATTTTTTCTAGTGTACATAGTAATATAAGAAAAAAGAAGTTAAATTACTTTTAATAATATATTTTGTTAAACCAAATATACCCAAAATATTATCATTTTAACGTGCAATCAGTATAAAATTGTTAGTGAGAATTTTTTACATTCTTTTTTTTCAAACTATAGTAATTAGGACACGCCACGTTTCAAGTGCTCAACAGCCACATCTGGCTAGTGATTAGCATACTGGGCAACGCTGAGGCAGAAGATGACTTGCAAAAGGAACAGCAGAATTCTTACACTGGTCTGGATGAAGAAAAATTTTAATTTATTACTGAATACACAATTCCTCCTCAAAACATTACGTCAATAATTTCTTTAATTTGGGTCAGTGTATGTTCATGTGTGGGCATGCTGATGCCCTTGCATGCAGCTAAGAAATTTTATTATTTAATTTTTCTGTAAGTAGTGGCTACACACCAACCCCAAAGCCAAAGAAGAAGAAATTGAAGATTTTTTCCAACTTTTGTAGTTTGAAATTCATCAAGCATGCAATCAAGATGCATTAATAATTACTGGTGATTACTGGTAAATGTGAAAGTGGGAAACAAAGAATAATCAGTAGTAGAAAAATATGGCCTTGGTGATAGAAATGATGCCGGAGATCTCATGATAGAATTTTGAAAGACCAGCAACATATTCATTGCAAATGCCTTTTTCAACAATATGAATAGCAACTATACACGTGGACCTTGCCAGATGGAATACACATTGACTACATCTGTGGAAGAGGTCATGAAGAAGCTCAATATCATAAGTCAGAACAAGGCCAGGGAATGACTGCGGAACAATCAATTGCTCATATGCAAGCTCAAGTTTAAGCTGAAGAAAATTAAAACAAGTCCATGAAAGCCAAAGCATGATCTTGAGTATATCCCACCTAAATTTAGAGATTATCTTAAGAATAGATTTGAAAGATTGAAAAATAATGACTGAAGAGCAGATGAGTTGTGGGATGACATCAGGGACATCATATATGAAGAAAGAAAAAGGTTATCAAAAACACAGGAAAGAAAGGAAAAACAAAAATGGATGTCAAAAGAGACTCTGAAAGTTGCTCTTGAACATAAAATAACTAATGCAACCTCAAGAACTGATAAAGTAAAAGAGCTGAACAGAAGATTTCAAAGGGTGACTTGAGAAGACAAACTGAAGTATTATAATGAAATGTACAAAGACCTGGAGTTAGAAAACCGAAAGGGAAGAACACGCTTGGCATTTTTCAAGCTGAAAGAACTGAAGAAAAAATTCAAGTCTCGAGATGCAATATTAAACGATTCTATGGGCGAAATATTCAAGGACTTAGGAAGCATCAAAAGACAATGGAAGGAATACACAGAGTCACTGTACCAAAAAGAATTGGTCCACGATCAACAATTTCAGGAGGGAACAGATGATCAAGAACCAACGGTACTGAAGGAAGAAGTTCTGCACTGAAGGCACTGGCGAAAAACAAGGCTTCAGGAATTGACGAAATACCAACTGAGATGTTTCAACAAAGGGATGCAAGGCTGGAAGCGCTCACTCATTTATGCCAACAAATTTGGAAGACAGCTATGTGGCAGATGATACAACCGTGCTTGCTGAGAGTGAACAGGACGTAAAGTACTTACTGATGAAGATCAAATTTCCCCGATAACAATTTTTGCTAGGTTTGAGCCCATTGTTGCAGCCAATGTGTCAATACATCTGGTTGAGGGTCTTCCACTTTTTCGCTGATCCTCTACTTTACCAAGCATGATGTCATTCTCCAGGGACTGGTCCCTCCTGATAACATAACTGAAGTACATGACAGGAAGTCTTGCAATCCTTACCTCTAAGGAACATTCTTGGTATACTTCTGCCAAAGCAGATTTGTTAATTCTTCTGGCAGTCCATGGTATATTCAATATTCTTCACCAACAACGTAATTCAAATGCTTCAATTCTTCTTAGGTCTTCCTGATTCATTGTCCAGCTTTCACATGCATATGAGGCGACTGAAAACACCATGACTTGGGTCAGGCGCACCTTGGTCTTCAAAGTGACATCTTTGTTTTTT